GGCAGGAGGGAAGAAGCGGCTGACGTGACTGACGTGTTTTCCACACACATGCCATTCTTGCTCGGAATTGGCTTTTTGTCTCCAATCCCAGCAGCGGGATTGACAGAGGGGAGAACTTTGCAAAGTTTAAAATAAATTTTAAAAGTAAAATAAACTAAAGAGGGCTGAGTTATAACCCAGAAGGGGAGAGAGGGGTTTCAGTCCTTTCAGTGTGCGCTGTCAGAGGCTCCTAAGGTAGGAAGGAGTTTATGGATATTCTTGTGAAGCATCTAACGAGACACAGAACCCTCAGCTCTGGCTCCGGTGTGTGACCGTGTCCCTTCGCCGTGACCCAGTAACAGCCAGTGCCCGGCAGCCTGGAGGAGGCTGAGCCCAGGGTCAAAGTTTTCACAGCTTGGTCGGCTTTTCTACATTGTGAAGAACTCTGCAACTGGAGTTTAATTTTGTTTGGAATGAAAACAGCGTCAAAACTGCCTGTGGAAAAAATTGTCGGGCTTCTTGAATTGGGGAGGCAGGGGATGGTGGTAAATCAAAACATTTTTGACATGGAGAGATTTTTAAGGAAAAATTCACATTTTCTATAATACAAAAATATTCCCAAGTGAAAAAATATAGGTTTTCTACTCTGAAAACTCACAGGGTTTTTCTTCCTTTTCCCTGGGCCTCGTCAGAAATGCTCCTTTCTAACAGGGAACACGTTCTGAAATAAAGTTTCCAAGTGATTTTGGAAATGGTAAATCCTCACAAGGCCCTGCTCAGCACGGAGGGAGAAGGCGGATCAGATCTGGGGCCTTGGTGTTGTAAACTTGTCCCTCCGCACGTGTCATACCTGTGCTAGCCCGATGCCCTCTGCTCGGAGTGGAGGAGAAGAGCCTAGAGTAAGCCCCGAGCAGCTAATTTTTATATTATATGTTGCTTAAGAAAGACTTGAGAGCATTTAATGACAGTTGAAATCAGGTGTATTTTGGTGCTTACGTCTTGCCATCGGCCCAGCAGGCCGGTCACAGCACACATCCCTCCCGGTCGAGTGCCGCTAGCTTTCGTATTTTGAAAACAAGGCTGATTTTAATGCTGAATGTCACATCTGGGAAACATTTGCATATTTTTCTCGTTCTCTCGATCAAAGAGCTGAATGGGAAGGGTTTTATCGGAGTGGCTCACATGCATTCTTTTTTAATCTCTTTTAGGGATTACGTTTTTCCCTCTGATGCATCCAAACAGATCCTTCAAGTGATAGAAAAGGTAAGAAAAAAATTACGAAGAACAGGAAGGCTGGATGGGTGACACCTACACCTCTGGACTGTTGTTCCAGGCAGCTCTGGGGCATGAGTGACGCTGCTCCAAACCCGTCCTTGAAGAGCGGGCAAGGAGCTGTCCTGGAGTCGGGAACTAATAAAAGATTGTTGCAAGGGCCAGGTCTGAAATTTGTAAATGATAAGATCATCAGGAACTTAGTGCCAACGATAATAACTCTAACAGGAAAGTAGGAGAAGGACTAATTAAAAAAAAACCCCAGGAATGCTTTCTCTGTAGCACCGGGGACTTGGCGTCAGCAACATGAGCCTGGCCAGACCCAGGTGAAAGCGACCAATCATCTCCTTGCCGAGGGAGTCAACCATTAAAACAAAATAGACAACACTGGCTGTGACCAGGAAATAACTCTGTTGGCTTTAATATTTTCATGGATTGTTTGCAATGTAGGAAAAGGAATTAGGTTTCCTTTTTTTTTAAAAAAAAAAAGTACCAGCTGGATGTTACCACAGTGGTGTTCTTTAAGACAACTTAACATCCTCCTTTCTTGTCTTTCTGCTTAAAGGCGTGAAAACTGAGCCACCTATTTAGCAAAGTGCTTGGCATCACCAAGACGAGGGTATCTGAGCTCGCTCACAGGCTCGGCTTTCATTTCAGTAGGCCCGATTCTGATCGTAGGGGAGCAACAAGCACCATCTGTTGCAGCCTGACCGGCA